TCAATAATAACACTATATTAATATTAAATTTTACACCGCTATTACAGAGATATAGAGTTATTACACCGCTGTTACACATATATAGTGTTATCCCCCTGCTATTACACAGATATAGTGTTATCACACCGCTATTACACAGATATAGTGTTATTACACCGCTGTTACACAGATATAGTGTTATTACACCGCTGTTACACAGATATAGTGTTATCCCACTGCTGTTACACAGATATAGTGTTATTACACCGCTGTTACACAGATATAGTGTTATTACACCGCTGTTACACAGATATAGTGTTATTACACCGCTGTTACACAGATATAATGTTATTACACCGCTGTTACACAGATATAATGTTATTACACCGCTGTTACACATATATAATGTTATCCCACTGCTATTACACAGATATAGTGTTATTACACCGCTGTTACACAGATATAGTGTTATTACACCGCTGTTACACAGATATAGTGTTATTACACCGCTGTTACACAGATATAGTGTTATTACACTGCTGTTACACAGATATAATGTTATTACACCGCTGTTACACATATATAATGTTATCCCACTGCTATTACACAGATATAGTGTTATTACACCGCTGTTACACAGATATAGTGTTATTACACCGCTGTTACACAGATATAGTGTTATTAGACCGCTGTTACACAGATATAGTGTTATCACACCGCTATTACACAGATATAGTGTTATTACACTGCTGTTACACAGATATAGTGTTATTACACCGCTGTTACACAGATATAGTGTTATCACACCGCTGTTACACAGATATAGTGTTATTACACCGCTGTTACACAGATATAGTATTATCACACCGCTATTACACAGATATAGTGTTATTACACCGCTGTTACACAGATATAGTGTTATTACACCGCTGTTACACAGATATAGTGTTATCCCCCTGCTATTACACAGATATAGTGTTATTACACCGCTGTTACACAGATATAGTGTTATTACACCGCTGTTAGACAGATATAGTGTTATCCCACTGCTATTACACAGATATAGTGTTATTACACCGCTGTTACACAGATATAGTGTTATTACACTGCTATTACACAGATATAGTGTTATTACACCGCTGTTACACAGATGTAGTGTTATTACACCGCTGTTACACAGATATAGAGTTATTACACTGCTGTTACACTGATATAGTGTTATTACACCGCTGTTACACAGATATAGTGTTATTACACCGCTGTTACACAGATATAGTGTTATCCCCCTGCTATTACACAGATATAGAGTTATTACACTGCTGTTACACAGATATAGTGTTATCACACCGCTGTTACACAGATATAGTGTTATTACACCGCTGTTACACAGATATAGTGTTATCCCACTGCTGTTACACAGATATAGTGTTATTACACCGCTGTTACACAGATATAGTGTTATCACACCGCTGTTACACAGATATAGTGTTATTACACCGCTGTTACACAGATATAGTGTTATTACACCGCTATTACACAGATATAATGTTATTACACTGCTGTTACACAGATATAGTGTTATTACACTGCTGTTACACAGATATAGAGTTAGTACACCGCTGTTACACAGATATAGTGTTATTACACCGCTGTTACACATATATAATGTTATCCCACTGCTATTACACAGATATAGTGTTATTACACCGCTGTTACACAGATATAGTGTTATTACACCGCTATTACACAGATATAGTGTTATTACACCGCTGTTACACAGATATAGTGTTATTACACCGCTGTTACACAGATATAGTGTTATCACACTGCTGTTACACAGATATAGTGTTATTACACCGCTGTTACACAGATATAGTGTTATTACACCACTGTTACACAGATATAATGTTATCCCACTGCTATTACACAGATATTTTTTTTTAGGTACTCCTGAAAATCAATAGAAAAAAAAAAATGCTCTCATATTCTATATTTACTATGTCATCAGTTGTTAAGGTGGCAACAAACTACACCCTGCATTACATTATATATTACATGATATTATATATGTGACAGACCCATCTGTATGAACTAGAATTGCTGTGTTCGTCTGTTTTGCCGTTTGTATGAATTTCCCCATTCATATGCCTTGTTTAAGGGAATGTATTTTTTTTTCGAACGGAACTACCGAACGGACGGCCACCCAAAAGAGAAGTGTGCTGCTGGTTAAACTATTGATCCCAATTAGAACGTTGCGGTTAACCACAGACACTTCCCAATTAAATCCGAATACAGGGTGGTCGTCGTTCGTATGTCGACCACAAGGCGGCGGCCATTTTAACTATGCGAAAGCCCAGCGGTGTTCGACGGTTATTCCATGGAACTAAAAACTGACACTTTTTCAACCGAACACCGCTGAAGCCGTCGACCTCCCCTTCTCAATCGACAAAAGTATACGAATACCGGCCGTTCGAGAGATTTAAAGGCACGAATGGACTTACCCCAGATAGCCTTCCCATGGAGTCAATCGCATACCGAACAACTGTAATAGACTTTGACTCCATGGAGATTGAACTATGTGTGTGGGATCTGAGCGCTATTCGCCAATAATATGCACTCAGATCCAGGCTATCTGGGTATGTGTTATACGAATGCAATACGTTCGATAGTTATAAAGTTATGTATTTTAATGTGTTTTGTAACTTGTATTTAAAATGGCGATTTGCCTCTGCTCTGGGAGATAATTTAATTACTTCTCAATTATCTCCCGAGCAGAGGGGAGGAAACTGTGTTGCATGCTGGGAATATTGTGGGGATGTATGTCTGAAATGTCCCCATGTCCTTCTGTTATTCCAGTCTCCCATTTGGTCCCCCAGGGGAGTGTCCACCAAGTGGGAGACCTGCATAAATACGGGCAGGTAGCCCACAGTAAACCCAGTTCATGTTTTACCCTCAAAGCGGAGCTTGGTCTCGTTATTGGGGGAATTTTAATACCGGCGACTAGAGACTGCTTATTGGGATTATTTGCCGCTTGGAAACTATTGCCGTTCGGCTGCTATTGGCGATTCGTGCATTTGGAGCTCGTGAAGGGAAGGAGCCGTACAGGTACCGTTCGGGAGTTTGGAGTGTTCCCTGGCTGGCGGTTCGCATGTTTATACTGCATACGCTACCAGACCACATTATTGCGAACGGGGAACATTCACTAAACGGCGGTTTGTGCATTTATTACTGGAGGTACCGTAACAATATATTATATATTACATTATACTATATATTACATTATATTATATATTACATGATATTATATATTATATATTGCTTTACATTATATATTACATTACATTATATATTACATGATATTCTATATTATATATTGCATTATATTATATATTACATGACATATTACATGATATTATATATTATATATTACATTGCATTATATATTACATGATATTATATATTACATTGCATTATATATTACATGATATTATATATTATATATTGCATGATATTATATATTACATTACATATTACATGATATTATATATTATATATTGCATGATATTATATATTACATTACATATTACATGATATTATATATTATATATTGCATTATATTATATACCTCAGAATTAGATAAAGATTGGTTTGGTTTATTGGACAAAATGGAATTACTTCTAGGTCTATTCTTTCAATTTGGAATTGTGAAGAATTTCAAACTAAAATGTTAAATCCCACCGTCTTCCTCTGCTGTCCCCCATTTAGGCCCCAGGGAGAGTGTGCAGCTTAGCAGACAGGGGCACATGTATGAGTGTGGGATGGATGATGCATGATTGGCTATATTCTACATGTATGAGTGTGGGATGGATGGTGCATGATTGGCTATATGCTACATGTATGAGTGTGGGATGGATGGTGCATGATTGGCTATATTCTACATGTATGAGTGTGGGATGGATGATGCATGATTGGCTATATGCTACATGTATGAGTGTGGGATGGATGATGCATGATTGGCTATATGCTACATGTATGAGTGTGGGATGGATGGTGCATGATTGGCTATATGCTACATGTATGAGTGTGGGATGGATGATGCATGATTGGCTATATTCTGCATGTATGAGTGTGGGATGGATGGTGCATGATTGGCTATATGCTACATGTATGAGTGTGGGATGGATGATGCATGATTGGCTATATTCTACATGTATGAGTGTGGGATGGATGATGCATGATTGGCTATATGCTACATGTATGAGTGTGGGATGGATGGTGCATGATTGGCTATATGCTACATGTATGAGTGTGGGATGGATGATGCATGATTGGCTATATTCTTCATGTATGAGTGTGGGATGGATGATGCATGATTGGCTATATTCTACATGTATGAGTGTGGGATGGATGGTGCATGATTGGCTATATTCTACATGTATGAGTGTGGGATGGATGATGCATGATTGGCTATATTCTACATGTATGAGTGTGGGATGGATGGTGCATGATTGGCTATATTCTACATGTATGAGTGTGGGATGGATGATGCATGATTGGCTATATTCTACATGTATGAGTGTGGGATGGATGGTGCATGATTGGCTATATGCTACATGTATGAGTGTGGGATGGATGATGCATGATTGGCTATATTCTACATGTATGAGTGTGGGATGGATGATGCATGATTGGCTATATGCTACATGTATGAGTGTGGGATGGATGATGCATGATTGGCTATATTCTACATGTATGAGTGTGGGATGGATGGTGCATGATTGGCTATATTCTTCATGTATGAGTGTGGGATGGATGATGCATGATTGGCTATATTCTACATGTATGAGTGTGGGATGGATGGTGCATGATTGGCTATATTCTACATGTATGAGTGTGGGATGGATGATGCATGATTGGCTATACTCTACATGTATGAGTGTGGGATGGATGATGTATGATTGGCTATACTCTACATGTATGAGTGTGGGATGGATGGTGCATGATTGGCTATATGCTACATGTATGAGTGTGGGATGGATGATGCATGATTGGCTATATGCTACATGTATGAGTGTGGGATGGATGATGCATGATTGGCTATATTCTACATGTATGAGTGTGGGATGGATGATGCATGATTGGCTATATGCTACATGTATGAGTGTGGGATGGATGATGCATGATTGGCTATATGCTACATGTATGAGTGTGGGATGGATGGTGCATGATTGGCTATATTCTACATGTATGAGTGTGGGATGGATGGTGCATGATTGGCTATATTCTACATGTATGAGTGTGGGATGGATGGTGCATGATTGGCTATATGCTACATGTATGAGTGTGGGATGGATGGTGCATGATTGGCTATATGCTACATGTATGAGTGTGGGATGGATGGTGCATGATTGGCTATATGCTACATGTATGAGTGTGGGATGGATGGTGCATGATTATCTATATTCTACATGTATGAGTGTGGGATGGATGGTGCATGATTGGCTATATTCTACATGTATGAGTGTGGGATGGATGGTGCATGATTGGCTATATGCTACATGTATGAGTGTGGGATGGATGATGTATGATTGGCTATATTCTACATGTATGAGTGTGGGATGGATGATGCATGATTGGCTATATTCTACATGTATGAGTGTGGGATGGATGGTGCATGATTGGCTATATTCTACATGTATGAGTGTGGGATGGATGGTGCATGATTGGCTATGTGCTACATGTATGAGTGTGGGATGGATGGTGCATGATTGGCTATGTGCTACATGTATGAGTGTGGGATGGATGATGCATGATTGGCTATATTCTACATGTCTGAGTGTGGGATGGATGGTGCATGATTGGCTATGTGCTACATGTATGAGTGTGGGATGGATGGTGCATGATTGGCTATGTGCTACATGTGGGAGTGTGAGATGTGAGGAAGTGGGTGGTGACAGATCAGACTGACCTCAGTGCCACTTAGGAGCCGGGCCAGCAACAAGTTTGCCACCCACCCTCCCTTTTCTGCTTTGGGCCTGGGGGGTTGTCACAGCGAGGCGGGGGTGTGTCCTTGCCAAATAAGGGATGGTTTGGTAGATTAGATGAAAAAGGGGGATAATGGCCGGGTCTCATCCTCCCCCTGTCTCTTATGGTGAACCTGGAGGAGGTACCAGGTTGGACGTGTCCCCACTGGGTTGTAAGTCGACCAGTGGGGAGCATTATGGTTGGGCCCCACCGAGTTGGTGGGGAGCCCTGAAAAGGAAGATGTTTTTATTATGCCGAGGTGGGGAGGTGAGAGCCTTGGGGAAGTTAGATTGGCAAGGACGGTTTCTTTGGTTACTGTATGACTGTATGCAAATTGTTTATGTTAATTTATGATATTTATTATTTCGTTATATGTTAAAGGAGTCATACAGTATTTGATTGTGTTAATAAATGCTGTGGCCTGTTTTCTCCAAGAAGTTGTCGGTCGTTATTTGAAGGGGTAAGTTATGGTTTTATGGGGGATGAAGGGAATGCTATCCAATGCCCACTACGTACATACAAGTGAATGTATTTATATAATGAGCCTGTATATGATAAAACCTTAAACTATTTGTATATCATCAAATACACCGAATTGTTTAAGTTGTTCTCGAAACAATAAGTTTAAAAACAAGTGTTTATTTTCTTTCACTTCTAGAACTATTCTAGTGATTTGATATTGAAGGATTAAGTACACATAGAAAGTGAATTTGTTTTTGAGACACTAACATATATTGTAGCGCAGCATAGTAATCTTCTAACTTGCTTTTCATTTTAGAAGCCGTACTCCCCACTCTCAGCCCCGAGAAGGTTATAAAACATGGGGAGTTCATTATCTCTTGGGGTAAAATATGCGTTGAGCACTCTATAATCTGCACATCTCATGCAGAGGTTGAATTATAACTGACATGATTCTCGTGAAGTGTCTCCTGGCTAGAACAGATTGTCTTTCAATGACATAAACGTGTGCAGGTCGTCCTGTACGATATATAAAGTTATTTTCATGTTTGGTTTAACCTGCTGTCACCAAGATAAACCGATATTCCTGTATAAGGCATACAGCAATATTCACAGCTTCCTTTATTCATGAACGTAGCATCGCTTCAGTTTAACGGATCTCAGCCTCCGCAAGGAGCTCTGTCAAATCATGATTCAGCTCCTGCAAGGAGCTCTGTCACATCATGATTCAGCCCTCACAAGGAGCTCTGTCAAATCATGATTCAGCCCCCACAAGGAGCTCTGTCAAATCATGATTCAGCCCCCACAAGGAGCTCTGTAGAATCATGATTCAGCCCCCTGCAAGGTGCTCTGTCAAATCATGATTCAGCCCCCACAAGGAGCTCTGTCAAATAATGATTCAGCCCCCAGAAGGAGCTCTGTCAAATCATGATTCAGCCCCCACAAGGAGCTCTGTCAAATCATGATTCAGCCCCCACAAGGAGCTCTGTAGAATCATGATTCAGCCCCCTGCAAGGTGCTCTGTCAAATCATGATTCAGCCCCCACAAGGAGCTCTGTCAAATAATGATTCAGCCCCCAGAAGGAGCTCTGTCAAATCATGATTCAGCCCCCACAAGGAGCTCTGTCAAATCATGATTCAGCCCCCTGCAAGGAGCTCTGTCAAATCATGATTCAGCCCCCACAAGGAGCTCTGTCAAATCATGATTCAGCCCCCTGCAAGGAGCGCTGTCAAATAATGATTCAGCCCCCACAAGGAGTTCTGTCAAATCATGATTCAGCTCCCGCAAGGAGCTCCGTAGAATCATGAAGATTTTAAACGTGTAATCATTTAAAGGGACAATATATTCACCAGAATCAGTACAGCTAATTGTAGTGGTTCTGATGTGCATATCCTGTCTCTTCAGCTATAGCACTGGAAACGCTTGCTTTTCAGAGAAAAGGCAGTGTTTACATCGCGGTTTATAGTTACCTTAGTGCCTATTTCAAAGTCTCCACACTCCACAAGGAGATGCTGAATGCTCCCCATAGAAATGCAAAAAATTAAGGTGTAGCAGAATGGCCCTTTTTCTCTTCCTTTGTTCGGCTGTCCGTACCCCTCGTTTGTTTACAGAACTACCCTCTGTGTGGTCCCTGAGTTCGGTTATTTTAACAATTGACCACCCCTGGCTGTTAACTTCAAAATTGCTCATTAAAGGAGGGATCCACTGTGTGGCTGCCATTCGTATTACCGAATGCACATGTGCAAACAAACGGCGGCCATCGTGTCTCCCGAACATGGGCAGTGGTATATGGTCATCGATGGCCTGGAACTAATTTCAGCTACTGAACTCTGCAAATCCCTAATTCACTTTATAATATAGTTGGACAATTATCCAGTGTGACTGTTTTGAACTAAAAGTAGCAATTACCCTGTTATTTTTCAATAATTTTCTGTTTAATAAATAAAAAACAAATAACTGATTTGCTCATTGCATTGTTTAATAAATACAAATGGTGCCTTATAATATCAGCATAAATCATGGTTATTTAAAAAGAGCGTCTCGCTATCTCTCAGTCCTATCACAAATCACGGCATGTTCAACGTAACGCGTACTTAGGGCACTGAACAAACTCCTGGGAGTAAAGACGCCAGACGCAAGTCCTGGTCATAAAACAAACCATTAAAGTGAAATACGCACAACAGGACACACATGGACTAATTAGCGAGATCTGGCACTTAACACATAATTGCTCATTTATGTGCTCATAAAATCTATGGAGCAGGTTATTTCCATATTAATGAAAATACAGAACGTGACAGTTTGCTAGGAACGGACGCACAACTTTCACATTAAACGGCGTTCAGGGTCATTCAGAGCTGTGAATCCTGCTGCCTCACCCTAATGGTTATTGAAGCTGAAGATTAACATACAGAGGCCTTTAAACAGATTCCTTACACTTGCAGAGCCTTGTGCTGTTTTACCTTGTGCCCCTGTAGAGTCATATCCTGAATTAAAGAAACACTCCGCTGCCTAATTACAAGGGGGAGCGGAAATAACTGTTTAGTAGATATATCCCAAATGACAACATGCCTGAGAAAACTGCAGATCTCGTGTGCTCTCCCCTTCCAACCCCATCCCAAACTTTCTGTGTCTGTCCAATCACAGACTGCCCAATGCAGCTCAATGAGAAGTCTTTGCAAGGCAGGTACTCTGGGCAATTGCTGCCTCTTGAGTTTATCTCCACCGAGCTAACTAAACCAGGAAGTAACAGGACCAGTTGTCTGATTGACAGCCAGGGGCATGTAGCAAAGTTTATTTATAAAAGTGACAGTTTTCTTAAAATCTGCCCTTTTTGTAAAATGAAAAAAGGACACACTCAGACCACAAACAAAGCATTACTGCTAACTACATTTTTCTAGGGTTCAGAAATGTCCCTTTAACTCACGGACTTGTAAAAGTGATAATTTAAATACAAATCAGAAACACCTCCATGATTTCCAATCAGGTTAGATAAAGCCAGTGCTGAAGTACTTGATTGGTTGAATTCACTTGAGAAACCCCGATGACCAGTCTGTACATTAATTGGACACTATGAGCGCCAACACACCTTATGCTCATTTCATGGGTTTTGGCCTAAAGGATATGCTGTATTTGTGTAAGACATTTTATAAGAAAACAACATTTCATTTTGCAGCTTTTTAAAGTGTAAGCCTGTCTCTTTAGCCAGAAACCTTCCTACTCACTGTGGTTCTAGATTGACCTCTTTCTCCCAGTAGATCCTGAGCCACTAAAATAAATGTGAGCTGCTGGGACATAGTGGCTGCAGAATGTAGGACAGCCCGAGAGACACTTGATGAGTGTTTCTGCCATTTCCTGTGAGTCAGCTCAGAAAACACTGAAGCCATTAGATCCTAGCTCACATTTTAGGAAAGGGTGCAGTGTCTACCTCCTTAAAGGACTCTCTATACTCTGTAAGAGCCTACAAATCCCCTGCTGAACAGACCACTATAGATCAACTTCTGTTTCCTCTACCATGTCTGCCAGGAAGCTACTCATTGCTCTCGCAGTCCGCTCAGACACACTACATAAAGGTAAATAGGTGGGGGGAAGAGACCACAAACGAACGGGGAGAGGAGAGGGAGTTAGACGAACACATGGAGATTGCATCCCCTGGGACGGTGAGCCCAGTGCACATAAGAAGAAAATAAGGAACACCTGGCTTGTACCATAATATTACTTTACAGGAGGACCAAAACAACTGGCTCGTACCATAATATTACTTTACAGGAGGACCAAAACAACTGGCTTGTACCATAATATTACTTTACAGGAGGACCAAAACAACTGGCTCTTACTATAAACTTTACAGGAAACATAGAATACCTGGCTCCTACCTTTACATTTAATAAAATGACTATAAATAGTTATTTTTACTCATTTTGTAAAGGTCATGTAACCCCTTAGCTCAGTTGAGAAAAATGTAATAATATTATAATTATATTATACATTATATAATAACATATTATAACGGCACCTTCTACTCTATAATAATAGAATAACAGCAGAGATTCATTAAACTGCAGTTCTCCTTAAAAACCTTACTACCGCTCCACAAATTAAACACCACATTTTTTACAGAACTTTTATGTCCTCAACTGAAGATTTCGTTTTTCCTTAAAAATATGTCTGCTATGAACTATTTTTGGAACAAAAATGTAAAAAAAATACATTTAGCTTCATCTTTCTGGATAGACAGTTTCCTTAGA